GATTCGCAAACGGATCCGTTTGGTCATGATTCGCAATCGGATCGGATACGGAGATCGCGAACGGACAGGATACGGATCAATCCGAATAATGTACTGCTATTTACTAAAAACGGTTCGCGAACGGTCCGTATACGGTTCCTATTTCAACCGCGCGCGAACGCGGAGCGTCCGGAACGGATCCGTTCGCGAATCACCTGTGGAGTGTACACTGAAAGTAGCAAGTTTTTTTTGAATAATTCCATGTACCTTTGAATACTGTAAACACACATTTCCTCACTGATTGATTTTTGCAGATTTTCAACCGTTTTTATCTTCATTTTTGGAAAATTGAGTACTATTCTTGTAAACAAACGGATCCGTTCGCGAACTTAAACTTTTGTCTGATTCGCGAACGGATCCGTTTGTTTATCATTCGCAATCGGATCGGATACGGAGTTCGCGAACGGACAGAATCGGAGGAATACGGAATAATGTGGTTTTCTCAAAACGGGTCGTGTGCGGTCCGTATACGGTTCCTATTTCAACCGCGCGCGAACGCTGAGCGTCCGTAACGGATCCGTTCGCATTTTACCTGTGATCTGGGGTGAAAATATCCAATTTGAACAATTTGTCTGAAATTACAGCCAAATTTTCAAACTGGATGTTTTACTCGAAGTTTCGGTAATATGTTCCTTATAGTTTTCTCCAATATTCCCTAAAGTTTCAGCCAGATTGATTCATTCTCCAAGTTTGTTGCCATTTTTTAGGTTTCTTGCCGGTCGCCTGAACAACCCCATAAAAAGAAAAACTAGCGAAAAAAGGAAACATAGAGAAAATGGAGGAGCTCTACATTTCCATTAATCTATTTCATTAGTAGATTTTTCTGTTAGTAAGATTGTAGAAACAAGCTAGAGAGGAATTTCGAAATATACTAAACTAGTGAACTATAATTCTTGATTTCTTTTTCCGCAAAACTGTTTACAGTGCACTGTAAGGTCCGATACGATTTGAATAATAATTTGGTTCTACAATTCTTTGAGGAGGTGTTAGGTACTCCTAAATGTACCATCGAGGCTAGGAGCAACTAACAATAAGTCACATCTTTATATGTCAGACAAAGATTAAATCAGTTTTCAGAACCAGGTTGCATTGTATTGGGGATCCGAATTGTCAATCTTTCAGAGATTCAGAAACTCAACAACTTGGGAATTTTAAAAAACTCAGCATTTTCCCTATTCAGATATCAACAGAACATTTTAAGACGTTAGAACGAGGCAGAGTAAGATTCCAATCAGAAGTCACACCCTTATGGGTGTAACAATGATCTAATTGTAAAGACAAATAACCAGTGGATCATTCTTAAAAATATCTGAATATATCAAATCTGTGAAACCGTAATTCTTGGTTTTTTTTTTGCAAGATTCGAGTGTTTTCGAAGATTATCTGTAGTCCAACGAATTCAATTCAAGTCAATTCAATTTATTACGCATCTAAAAATATGTGAATTATTGAATTGCGAATCGAGAATTGTGTTTTTACTTCATACTCCAGTCTTTGCGCCTTCATGAAACAGAAAAAATTGCATATATTTTTCAATACTTTTATTATTATTCATGTTAATTTGTATGTGATCGAATAAATTATGGTGGATGAAAAATGAGATCAAATTATCAGTTGGCACGGGCCATGTAGGCGTCGATCTCCGCGTCCATTTCCTCGACAGTCTTCTTTGGTTTCTCCTCTCTCTTTGGTTTTTTTGTCTTCTTGGCTCCAGTCTTTTGAGCTCCAGCAGCTGGTTTTCCTTGTTTCTTTGGAGTCCGTTGAGCAGTTCTTGGTCTTCCGGCAGATTGTGGAACTCTTTGTGGTTTGGATGGGAACTTGACACGATTGGCGATGTTGGTGGTGTCGATAATAGCGAATTTCATTTCCTTTCCATCGAGAGCCACTCCAGCAAACTTTTGAATGAGACGATCGGCTTGACGTTTCGAGAGAGTGATGTCTCCGGTTCCAGCTGCAGCTCCCTTCTCATTGAAGTTCACGGAGCAGTTCTTGATTTTGAATTCAGCAAAGAGTTGACGAAGGTCACCGGAGAGAACCGATGGGGCGAGATTGGACAAGTTGACACGGACTTCGCGGTTATCTAGAAACATGAGCATGAAGTTTCCTGATCTTCTAGACGTGAAGCTTACCATTCGATGGAATCAGTTCTTTATGGAAACTTCCACTTTGACGACGTGGAACTCTTCCTCCACTCTGACGTCTGACACTTCCAGATGGCTTAGCACCACTGAAACGTTTCTTGATTCCTCCTGTTGATGCTCTCTTGATTGGCGACTTCTTGAAGTTCTTGGATCTACGGATTCCGGAAGACAGTGGAGCGTCGATGTCGATAGCACGAGCCATGTTAGTGGGATTTAGTGAGTTCTGGAAATGGAAAATTATTGAAGAATAATGCTAGAAGAGAGAAAATAAACAAGGAAGGAGATGAGCATGTAAGATAAATGGGTGAAGCACTAGAAAAGTAGAGAAAAATCAATTGGAGAGAACAGGAAAGGAGAGAAAAGAAGAAGAGCGAACGTCAACTGACTGACTGAATGAATGAATGAATGAGAACGGAGAACGGTTGGCAAACCAGGTGGGTTGATGAGAACCAGGTGTACTATCACTCCGCCCCACTCTAATTCAGCTCCTGGGAAAGGTCAGGAAGTACAGTAACCTATTGGAGTCATCCATTGGACTATCTATTCAGTTGAGAGAAACGAAGTTATAAAAAAAAAGTACTGTTACAAAACGTTTTGAAACAATCAGGCTTTTATTAATTTTCAATCTGTCTGACCCGGAAACCATCATAATCATAATTGCAATTTTTAAAATCAATAATTCTTAAGATCCTTAATAATAAACGCAAAAAAATAGAAGAGTGTCTGACACAACGACCGTCATGAAAAATAAGTGATTATATGAAGAGGAAGTCTGAAGAGATGGGAAAATATGGTATGGGAGGTTTCAGGAACATCTAAACATCACTTTTTTGAAGACAAAAATAATACAAAAATTATTGTTTCGAAAGTTATTTGAAACCGAAAAAATCTTTTAACTACATTTAACTGTTTCATGAAATTTGTACCATTTCCAACTAACAAGAGAAGTCTGATGGTTTTATGCAATCTTATCACTGAAAAATCGGAAACCATAAAACTACGCGCCAATGTAGATGAACATAATCTAAAGTTCTGAAACTGTAAGGGGAACTTTGTAGAAACAGAATTGCCTGTTTCATAAGTTGCATTTTTTTGCAAAGTCGAGTTTACAAATCCAAAACTGGAAAATTGGAAATTGAAATCGGAAATCTAGAAGGCTGACATATCGAGCTCCTAGACGATATCGAGGTGAGGCGAATTTTGAGAAAAAAATAATAATGTCACGAAATGTTAGGCAAAATAAGTCTATATAAGGCTCCTGGACGTTTCAGAACCCGACGTTTCGGAACCACGACGTTTCAGAACCCGACAGTTCAGAACCCGACGGTTCAGAACCCGACGTTTTAGAACCCGACGTTTCAGAACTTTTCTGCATTTTTGTCTAGTGGTTTTTGCGCATCAGATGAGCATTGCTCATTTCAATTTTGTGTTTTTCTGCTTTTTTGTTCATTCTCATCTACCGTACTATCATAATAATGATAGGTTCACACT